ACGCTACAACGGGGGGGGGGGGAGAAGGCTTTATTGCTTCGTGTCGCACAACAATTGAATTTGGCCATAAGGATGACCTACGAACACGTGTAATAGAAATAACCGTATACAAATATCACATGGGGTGCCATGCATCATAAGCGGTATAATAGAAATAACCGTATACAAATATCACGTGGGGTGCCATGCATCATAAGCGGAAGAATAAAAGTCTGACTAAACCGTGTTGGCAAAAGGAATAGTGTGCGGAACTATTTGGGAGTGAACTGCCAAGAGTAATAATAAACAAGACATTGGTTGGAACAACTGGCGGCGAGAGCAAAGAAACTAAAGTCAGCGAAAACTGTGAACAATCCGCCAAAGCGCTTAACTAAGCTTGAATAGGTGTGGAAACTGCGAGAACTCAAAAAACTGAAAGCTACGAAACTATGTACAATAGTTAGAAACAGAAGCAGCCCGAGGATAGGAAGCTATTTAATTACATAACAGGATGCTTCAGAATGTAGTGGTGAGCATGAATGTGCTTTGAACGGGGAAAAAGGACCAGTAAGGCTGAGATGTACCCTAGCAGCTATGAACAGTAACAACTGAACGAGATCGTAAAACGGCGCTAGGCCAAATATTTTTCAGAACATTCTTATATACACTATTATGTACAACATGAATGACTTGCTACTGAAGCAACTACGATAACAATAGGAACGTTATAGAGAATATGATGTTCCTGTTGAGACTGCTATCACCAGAGAAAGACGAATGCAGCGATGACGAGTCGAGAGACCATGCCGACCTGATAGACGTCTTCCATGAATCTGCAATAAGAAGGTCAGCTTAGAGGGGGAGGGGTCCACGGCAGCACCTGAAACTTTCCCAAGTTTTCCATCTCCCGGCCAACATGACCTTGCCCGAATCGGTTCCCCGTCTTATAGCCTGGGTCGCCGCGCCCCCTCTAGAAGGAGCGTGTGGTCAGATTCTTATGCTTGAGACCCGCTAGGTTTATGATTTTATTAATAATTTTTGAGACTGCATGCCTGGCAGGGGGTTGATGGGCCGAGGAGCTGAAAGGGAATTTGTGGGGGAGAACTGGGCTCTTGAAGAGGCAGAAAGCTTTCCAAAGGACGGTTTGAAGTAGCTTCCATTTGATGGCTGTGGTGGTTCCCTGCTCCCTCCTATAAATTCGAGGGGACCCACCTTCCTTCGCCTTTATAGGAAAAGTCCTGAAACTGAAGCAGCCTTATTTCGATGACCCTCAGTAACCCTGAAAAAGCCAGCATGAACGATGGTAGCAGCCACTATATTGTCGGGAGCGCCGCTGGATAGGGCGAGCCTAATTATGAATTCGACGTCTGCTAAGGAGGCCTTATTCCTGTGACGAACGGGAACCCTGTCTTTTTTAGCGCCATTTAACAGGACTCTAAGGACGTCCCCATCGTCAACAGGAAGAGGACCAAAAAATGGGAGAGCGCCGCAACATGGTACCCCAGAGACCGGTTTTTCCCCTCTTGTATTAGGTTGGCGAGGAAATGTTGCGGAGCTTGGGGATATCCAGTGAAAAGCTAACCCAGTATTCGGCGACTATCCTAAGAACATTTTCTTGACTCTGGAATAGATTTTAAGCGGTTCCCGGCGATATGGAATGGCCTTTAGAGGCCTGTATGATCTCGGCTACCGCCGCAGGACCGTGGTTAGCTGACATCGCCGTCGACTCGGCTGCTACGTGACGATCTCCAAGGGGAAGATCTGCAAAATGAGAGTCAAAAACTTCGGGAAAAACTGGAACAAGCTAGAATTAAGTATGGGTGGGACGGTGAGGCCAAGGCGCGCTGACCCGCCATCAACTGCCGCCCTGATCGGCGGCTCGTTGCGCCAAACACAAAACTCTATTTTCGCCTCAGTACTTCCGATGA